GAAAGGACCTTGAAATTCATCTGACAGCAAAACSAGGGAAAAAACCTCAGCTACCAAACTGCCCTGCTCCTTGGGGCTGCCCACACTTTGGAGACACACKGAAACCTCCCTGTGGGTACTCAACTCACTCAGTGGGCAAGACCGAGTCAGATGTCCTAGAAAAATGGCAATACAGGCATGAATTCAGAGCTGTTCCAGCACTAGTGGTGAGCACCAGGCACACTCCTTTTCTAGCACCCTTTTGCTCTCCCAAAGCATAGGGGCCATGGCAGTAGCTCTTCACCAGCTCCTCAGTACAATCCATGCCTGCCACACACAAAGAATCTCTTAGGAAAGGTCAGCAATGCTCAAACAAGCATTTGGGAGCCATGACATTTCAGGCATGGGGAGAAACACCCAGCACCTTCCCAGAATGGTTTAATGGCCCAGCCTGAGCCAAATCATCAGTTCTTGCTCCAAGGCCTGTTCTTGCTCCAAGGCCAGAACTGGTTAGGAATGGCAGGAAAACATCTCCACATTGTGGGAAAAGAGCTCATTTTGCCAACCCTGTTCTGCAAAACAGATGAAMTGTACCTTTTTTTAAATACTGGAAACTAGCCAGAGGTGCTGATCCAGGCTGGAAAATCTTCAGCACAAACAGGTAAAGTCTGGAAGCAGAAGAGCAGAGGTGACAGAGGAWGRKGCCAGAYTCTTCAGGACAGYCCAGTGACAGGACAAGAAGCAGTGGCCATAAACTAAAACACAGGAAGCTCCACCTCAGTATGAGAAAGAACTTACTTCCAYGGAGGGAGGCAGAACACTGGAACAGCTGCCCAGGGAGGGTGTGGAGTCTCCCTRTCTGGRGACATTCCAAATTCACCAGGACACGTATCTGTGTCACCTGCTCTGGGTGACCCTGCCTTGGCATGGGATTGGATGAGGTGATCTCCAGAGGTCCCTTCCAACCCCARCTGTTCTGGGATTATGTGAACAGAAGGGTTCATAACACATCTCTGAAGCTGAATAGACCTGCTGTWGGAGCCCTAGAAGCCTGTAATACTTTTTATTTCAGAGGGGACTAAAAAATATTGAGGGAATCACCCCCAAGGGCACAGTCTGAGGGACCTTATGGAGGAGGATCCTCACCAATGACACTTCTGAACTCACCTCACAAAGGTTGTGACCTTTGACTCCCAACTAACCCCACGCAGTCTGGGAGATGACAAACATTAGAACCAGCCTCTGACCTATCCTGGGTGAGGCCACATGCCTGGACACACCCTGGGGGACAAGCCCTGCCCTGCAGCACTGACCTTGCCATGATGGGAAGAAATTGCAGCACTAAGAGGCAAATAGCTGACTCAAGGTCCCATGGCCAGCAMAAGAGGCATCCTGAATCCCACCAGCCCTCACTGGGACTGGCTCTTTGCCTGGTTAAGAAATTCCATGACTCAAAATGCCACTGGGGACAGCCTGCAATGAAGCATCTAGAATTACCACCTCCAGCAGAGCTGTTTGGTAGGAAACAGTGCTGATATCTCTGTTTTCATAGCAAAGTGTTCTGCAGACACCCTGCATTTCCAAGGAAGAGTATCTAATCACCTCTGGAGAGCAACCAGGACAAAACRTGCTTTCTCTCTGTAAGGATAATGAATTTCTAATAGTATCACTTTGTTTCCATTCCTACTCTCCTGGGATTGTCAGAACTGAAAAGGAGGTGTGTTTTGTGTAAGCATTGAAACACTGAGGCCTGGCAGAGTAGGAAATGCTGCTGGAGCCAGGARAGTGTGAATGTGTGACTCTGCTGGGACAGATTATATCAGAGATTGATACAGGAAGAGAGAAAAAAAAAGTCCATGGGGGAAATGAGAGGGAAAGTGCTGTGAGCACAGGGATTGGGTTTCTTCACTCATGCTGGAACAAAGAGCAGAGCCCTTTGCTCCACCAACTAACTGCCTGCCACGCTGGGATGCCTGCTGTGCCGGGATGCCTCCTTGGCAGGGGTACCAGAATGCTGCTCTGCTGGGTACCACACACATCTCACACAGGACCTGGGGCTCCTTGGGAACTTGAGAGCTCAGGGCAACTCCCAGCCACACAGCTCAGCTCCCCACACCACCCTGTGAGGTGCTGTGCTTCATGATCTGCTGAAGATCATGGAAAAGAAGAGATGAGAGGACACCCCAGTCTCTCTGCAATGCCTCAGAGCCTTACCCAGCACTCACTGTGGAGGCTTTTCAGAACAACAGGCATGAGCCAACAAAGACATGACAAAGACATGTTCCMTCCTCCAACAAGGAGAAGTATCTCCATCCCTATTTTACAGTTTGAGTACATTTCTTCCACAGACATCTGGYAAGAATGAAGATCTCCTGAGCCTTAGGGCTACTCTTTTATCCACAAAACCACAMAAAAGGTTTAAAGTCCAAACAGACAAAACCCACCTTTATCCTCTTGAGTCACTGGTTCAGATTCCTCCATAAACTTCAGTCCAGGCTTCAGATGGTGCAGMGTTGCCTCCTGTGACAGCAACACTGAGATGGGATCCTCTAAGCTACCAGCAGACTCAGGGCTAGGAGAGACATGGCACACCACTGCTATTTTGTTTGCTACCACATATAGAGCAGGTGTTTCATGGCTGGGGGTTGGAATGAGATGGTATTTAARATTCCTTTCAACCCAAACCATTCTGTGATTCTGCAGGACCAGTTCATGGGGAGTTCCTGAGTAACCWGGATAAAGAGTGACAACCAACCTATATTCAAGTTATCCAAATGGGATAAGATGAAAACAACATTGMAATTCCATGCAGGAACTGCTGTTTCAGGTTCAAGGAGCCCTCAAAGCCTGATGTTTGCACAGCCCAGCACAGAGATACAGAAAGCCCAGGTTCATCTCCTCTGTAAAGCCATCCCAGCAAGTACCTCATGCATCACACCTGCCTCTTTCTTTCCCCCCAGAATCTGGGCAGCAATATCAGCAGTTCTGGAGGGGAACATGGCTAGCATTAGTACTTCCTGCAGGGTCACAGGGACCACAAGCACCCTTGGGTCATGGCAGACAGTTCAAGATTTTTCATCCTCCATAGTGGCACCAGAAATACTGAAAAGGGACCTGAGAGCAYCTACTGCAATATCCATCTGCCACCAAGGTTTCAGTTTGGCAAGGTGTTTATTTCAAAAGCACATGCAACAGCAAAACTTCCYAAAGGCAGTAATATGGCAGTCAATGATTTCATCCACATCTGACACATGGCCAGTGTGCAGCAGAGMAGAGAACAGTTTCTAGGTAAAGAAAGCTTTTCTTTTTAAATAAGGAATTTCAATAATGCATAATCTTACATTTAAATCCCAGATCCATTCATTCGAAAGCTATGCTTTCTCTCCAGGCCAGACCCACTGGGTGTGGAGATGTTGGTACAACGCAGAGACCTGCACTTTGCAGACATTCAGTGATGATTATAAAGCTCCCATCCAGCCCCAAACCTTGTGAATGTTACACATTTTAGCCCCAGAAAGGAAGACGATTCTCTTCAGAACACAACYACAGGCATGTCCTTGAGGCCTTTAATCAGAACGGAATTCCTCAGCAGCACCAGGAACTGCAGGCCATCTGAAACCTGCCTMTATAATGACTTAGGAGAAACCCACAGCCCTCCTGCCTCAGCACCACTTTCTGCCTCTGGGAGGAAAATTTGTGGTTTTCTGTGAGCCATCTTCTCTTTTCAGGTTTCTCTCCCACATAAAGGTTCCTCAAATTCTTTGGTTTCACACAAATCCTTTCCACTCATATGCAATTTATTTRTTGTTTGCACAATAAATCAGTATTTCAAAGCTGTCCTTGCTCTTGCCATGATCAAGAACATTGCTGTTGTGAGAAGTGCCCCAAAACTGATACCAAATACCTTTGCAATTAACTGAACCCATCCAGAGTTTCAACAAGAAGTGAACARCTTAAAACAGATTTGAAGCACTCATCTCTTTTTGGACAGTATGCACTTTATTGCAGAGAAGACTGTATGAATCTTAAAACAAATTCAGGAATTTCCCAGTTTCCATACAGTTCCACAAAGTGTCGCCCACAGTAACCTGAGCACAGTGGAGATTGACAGAGAGAGAGCTCCATCCTGTCCCCTGCAATCACTCAAGTCACCAAATCTTGCAGCCAATTATTTAAGATCTGTGGAAACAGGTCGCCCTGCTCCTGCAAGCACCTCTTCCAGAAAACAGAGGTTAAACCGTGTCACTCCTGATTTACACCAGCRTAACTAAGACCAGGAGATAGGCTTGGATCACGAGAACAGCCAGGCAAGGTTTTATGTCAGTGTGATACACCTGTGGTGGCAGATACGTGACATTTCCTGAAGGGCTTTATTTGAGATCAAGATTGAGACAGTTTCTTCAGGTATTGCTGTATCTTTGGATCACTGCTCATCCTGCTGCCCAGTCCTCTCCACATGGGAAAGAAATCTTGGCATGAAAACACATCAAGTCATAACAGGCACTTCCACAACAATCACTGTCTTTGTCTGCCCTGGATACTGCTGTGTTTGGGAGCATCCCAGCAGGTCACAGCCAGCTCCATGCAGGATGAGGGCGAGCCACAGCCGAGCATGTTAGAYACAAGCATRTTAGACTGTGAYCACAAATRTTCTTCAGCRTATCAGTCCAAAGGGATAATGCTCWTTTCTCAGGAGACCATCCACAATAATTGCTTTGGAGAGACACTGGCTGCATCAGCAAGTGAATATTATGTTAGACTAAAACCCCTACCCCTTTTTCTGTAAAAATGTGTTTCCTTACCTATTAATCACCCACAAASTGAARCCTTTCTGAGCAACCRTCCACACTRTGACATTAAACACAGCTCAAGCTCYTGATGCCAGTCCAGAGCTTGTCTAAGGATGTCAAGACTGAACGGGCTGGCACAAGACACATTAACATGGAAAAGCCTTACAACCACCCGATTCTGGGATCTGCTTCTCACCTCCTCCACATTTCACATATAGCCTCTCTGCCATAACCAGCTGAAGATCTGACACACAGGACTCAAACAATAATGATGCAAAACCTCATGGGAGTCAGAAGTTCCCCATGATGGAAATACAATAGAATGGCTCAGTGTGTCCAMGGGATATGCTACAGGAGAGCTGTTTAAATGCCTGTGTGTGTTGTGCTGAGACAGTTTTCTTCACTACTTTAGCACTGCGCCAAGCGARTGAGTGCTAAAATCTACTGAAGTGAATGGGAACCTTGGGAAGAGCAGCTGATTGAAAAAAGCCCCCAAAACAGAGGGCTTCRGTGTAATACCAGTGCAGGGATAGCACATATTGAGAGAAAAGTTCACCCTCTCATGTGGCCCAAAGCTTAAATTAAAGGAAAGGGTGATTGGGGAACAGGGTGAGAAATCATTCATTGGTCACTTCCTGGTGGCTTCACCAAGGCTGCCAGTGCTGGTGGTGGCACATGTGCACATGTGACTTGTAACTGGACTAACTCAGCTACCCATGAGGATGGAGACCATGACTCCCTGGGACTTTGGAAGGCCATCCCAAAGTGATGTGCTTCTGACATAGGCWAAATCATAATCTGTGATGAGTTAGGGCGCCTGAGGCCCTGAACRCTTTAAGCTCTCCTGACTATTCCCTTTCAAAAGAAAATAGAAAATTATCGCATGAAGTGGTTGCTAGGCACAAATTATTTTTCTTCAAACAGATTCCCACAGGATTCCCCCTTGCATTTACTATAATATACTACCTGATGTGTCACGAGCATGATGGGTATTGACATTYAAGGCAATCTAATTTCCATAGCCCTGTCATGACTTTCCCCCAGTAGATCACCTTTGTCTTCCTTCTCCAGGACTGATTTCTTGCAGGTGAACATGACAAGCAGCAGCATTGGCAAGTGCCACAGACTGCAGAAGAAGAGCTTCCTGGAGCTGCTGCGGTCGGCGTCCCTGTAGAACCGAAAGCCGAGGTAGGAGATGTAGAGGTTGATAGGGAGAGAAATGATGGGGAAAGTCCACGTGGTGATGTCGAGGACAGGAGCCACTGTTGAGAGTCCAATTAAGGCTAAGCAGTGACGCAGAGCCACCCGTCGGCACAGCCCCGGGTGGGTGACAGACATCATGCAGTATCCTCCTCGCGAGTAATCTTCCCGCAGACCCCAGCTCAGGGCGTTGAAGTGAGGGAACTGCCAGGAATAGAGGATCCCTCCCAGCAGTAATGCACCTGCAGTGGGAGAGACAGTGTTAGAGGGTCCCTGCAGCAAGTGCCACACACAGACCTCAGCTGACATGTCCTGCTTGCAGGAGGGCAGTGCTACCCACCTGTGACACCAGTGACACCAGTGACACCAGTGACACCAGTGACACTGCTCTGTATAGGGACAGGGCAGCCCTGTGAGATAAGGAACCTCTGGTTTTCATGGCATCCACATTTTCATGGAGTATGGTGATTTGCCTGGTTTTGGAGCACTTAATTTGAAAAGCATTTCAGCAAGTCACTTCCTTCTAATGAACTACTGCAAACTGGTTCCTGCACCAACTGTCTCTRCCTGAAGGAAGACTGGTGGGAATGAAGTGAAACTTCATCATTTCTCACTTCAGAGACAGTTTTCCTGGGAGCTTCCAGATTCTACTCTCAGGTTCTTGGTGTGTCCAGAGAAGAAAAAAGCCAGTGAACAGAGRACAAGCAGTAGATCCTGAGACCTGGGTAAACACTGCCCTGGTAGGCTGGAGCAAGGCCAAGCCTTCTGTCTGCCCCCTGCACGAGGGAGAGAACTGCTCCCAGCATGGGACAAGCTACCATGATGGACTTGGGCAGGGGGCAGAAGTAGCAGAAGCTGTTAATGAACTAACRGGAGATGGAGAACTTATTCCAAACCAATTGCACAAACTTCTAAGCAGTTTGATCAAGTAACTCTATTCACACTAACTACTTTTACATTTAAAAAGAGCTATGGAAGCACCTCATTTCCACAGCTCTTCCTGGGACATGGTACAGCATTTATTGAAGCAGAAGCAACTTATGTACTAATTTCAGTGAGCCTCCAGAAGGCCCTCAGACWAAATTCCCTTCACTAAGTTTGTCTGAATCCCCCAAGGCTATTGCAATGTTATGAGCATTTCAGGATTTTCCTTTCATTTTCCCAGCTTCCAAACCCTCTGCTCTCRCATTAACTCTTTCTTGGTCTCTCCCTGCCTCCATGAGCTCATTCTCTATGGAAATTTCTTCTCCAACTGGAGCCATGCATCTAGCATCCTCTTAATGACCCAAGTGAAAGAGCAACACTTATCTGCAAACAAGTTAAGGYATTTAAATTTTTCTCCAAACACTCAATTCTTCCCAGCAACTCTGACAAAGCCCAAGTCACTGTGTCCTCTGAACAGCTTCACGGYTCAGATCTCCTCTCCATCTGTTCCTGGAGGCTGTTCATGCCTAGTTCTTGTCTCTAACAGCACAACTCACAYAAGTGCTGTCATGAAAATAATAATAATAATCTCAGTTTGTGAAATTGCCTTTTTTCCCCTACCTTATCATCAGTGAAGGAACCCTCCATTAGACTTCATGCARGTTTCCAGTGGCTTATAAATCCAGTAGTGGTATACAAGACCCATATCATTGCTTCATTGAACAAATAACATCCTTGTATGTACCTCTGGAAGTTGATTACACAAAGCGCAGGGATTGACACACAGAACTTGAGTGTGCAGCTTTCAGAACAACACTGTCTGCCACAAATTCCAGGTGATTTCATGGAATCACAGAATGGTTTGGAAGGGATCTTAAAGATCATCTCGTTCCAACCCCTGCTATGGGCAGGGACACCTCCCACTGTCCCAGGTCACTCCCAGCCCCAATGTCCAGCCTGGCCTTGGGCACTGCCAGGGATCCAGGGGCAGCCACAGCTGCTCTGGGCACCCTGTGCCAGGGCCTCCCTACCTTCACAGGGAGGAGTTTCTTCCTCACATCTAATCTAAACCTACAAGGGGGAAGCCATTCCCCCTTGTGACTCCAGGCCTTTGTAAACAGTCTCTCTCCATGTTTCTTTAAGGCCCTTTCTGGTACTGGAAGGCCCCARTTAAGTCCCTCCATTTCCTGGTCTATGGCCCAAAATACTCCAATTCCAGCTATTCAATCCTTCTAAAGTCAATTTTTTGGATGTGGATGTTAGCACTTTTCTAAATGGTAACCTTTAAACACAGTTGAAAATGATGCACCCCAAAACTACCAATAATTTTGGAACATCATGGCAAGAAAAGTTATTTTGGCCCTAAYAAAACAGCATTTGATTCAGTTCTGCTGAAACCTGAGGGAGCAGCTCTGCTGAAATAAACCAAAATTAAACTTACTGAAGGAGCAGTTCTCCCTAGCCCAGGAGAAACAACAGGGAAAATGTTCTTGTCCTAAGTCACTCTTTAGCTTTTTCCTTTTCTTGTAAAACACATTACCCTAGGTGAGATCCTGAATATGATACACCTAAGAGAGCAGTATTTTCTAAGTATCACATCTGTCATGCTTTAGAGACACTAGATTGTCATTGTTCAGAACTTAGGTAAAGRTAAGCTACAATTACCCATTAGCCAAGGACACTTGAGCAGATGGAGCCAGGGCCTAAGATGTGGAGCAGAGGCTGTYCCTGCTTCCCATGGCTCTGGACCTGTGTCCAGGTCCCTGTGTTTCAGCTCTAACATAGGTTTTCTTATTCAGTTGTTCCAATTTTGTGTGCAGCCAAGCTCAAARCACACCCTAAACCTCAAACACACAAAGCCCTTTAACATATCCCTATCTATGCCACCATTAAAAAAAAAGTCATCTGGAGAAAAACAGACCACTAGAATACTTGAGGTTGGATTCCCATTTACAAAGGTCTGGCTTTYACATGCAAACCTTTGGAATTTAATTACTTCAATTACATTACAACTATTGAGATAATTGATATTTCACAGAGAAGCTGAACAGTGAAACAATTTAATAGTCCATTATGASAACTTTAAAGGACCCAATCTTTTTGTTTGGTTCCCATGTACTGGGACATCCTGTAATTTTCTTGGCCAGGGTGGAGATTGTCAGGTTGTCAGAGGTTTTTTAAGTGTCACGTAAGACTGATGACTTGCAAAGCATGGCACATGAAACAGTACAATTCAGCATCAAATGAGCTCACAGTAGGAATCCTGTCAAGCCCAGAGCAGACACTGTAATACTCATTAATTACTAGATGAATGTTAACTATGTCATAATTAAGTCAGCACTGTTTTTAAGCAATATTGGAGTGAGACAAACTCTGGAGACTAATCTGGTTCCAAACAGAGCTGAGTCTACCCTGTGGCCTCCATGCCGTTCCCAACTGTTTGGGAACTCAGCTTAATTATTGCAAATCTCCCTCTTCTCTACAGAGTTTATAATTAAGTGAACATCAGACAAGGTTGTTCCCAACAGGAACACGTGAACCTGGTGCAGGGTTTGCAAAAGCAAAGCTCGCTGTCAGAGCAGAGTCATTGCTTGGGCAACGGGGGATAGGCAGCACCCAGGGACACCCTGGGGAACTCAGGGACACCAGGGACACCCAGCACCTTGGGATCTCTTGGCTCTTCCACAGCTTGCAAAAACCTGAGCACAGGCAGACTGACAGGAACTCAGATMTCTCAGCTTCTCTGCTATAGTTCATGAATTGTAGGACCACAAGTACCCAGCTGGCTTGTGGATATCAAACCCCTTGGCCTTTTTGGCCAAATATTTAATTGCTGCAATTGAGCCATTTATGATCAATTCTTCTCTCCAAGTGTAAGAACCTGGGACAGATGCAGCAGGTATGTAGAAATCCCAGTAACTTGTCAGATCAGTCCTGTTTTATTTTGGAGGAAAATGAAGTAAACTAAGGATAACAGGGCCCAGGTCTCCATAACTCTTTAAATCTTCTGTGCAAAATCAGAATAAAATATTTTCTTCTTGAGTTCCTATTCTTTAATCTCTTTGCACTGTCTTAAATCATCTCAAAAGTTTCAGGATTGCAGAGAATCAGGTAGGTCCTAAAGCAMCCATGGAGCTCAAGATAACAGGTTTTATCATTCCTCATGAATTTCAAGGTTAAGCTATTATTTCTTTCCTTACATTCTTCTTTGAGATTTATTTAAATAGTAATAGACCTCCTTTTTAATAAACAAGAACAAGCTGAGATTTTTATTTCATTTTAATATCTAAGATAAAGCCAAAATGTCAACTGGCATTGAAGAAGGCAGAAAATGGTTCTTTCTTTCTGTAAATATATTTTTATCTAGTGAAATACTGAAGCTTTATAAACTCACTTTTCCTAGAACAAACAGGACACTAAATTCCACAGTCATTTGTCATCTGCTTGGATATTTAACTGTTCAATAAATTTGGTAAGACTTGGAAGTCATTGTGAGATGAGACTTCCAAAACTAGTGATTTGAGCTTTGCAAACTGCAGCAGCTGACAGTGTAATTTTCAGAATTACAAGAGCTAGAAGCACCCTCATCCAAAGTTCTGCTCTTTACAGTATCAAGAAGGCCATGTGGCTCTAAATATTGATTAAAATKTCATGGTTTGTTCCTTCTAGAGAAATTTATGATTAACTCATTTGCTGGACAGTCCAGATCTCAGGTCAGAGAGCAATGTCAGTGCAGGAGCCCAGTCCCTGGTCTAAGCCTTGGTTAGGAAGAGCCCTTAAGAGCAGGAGATTGGAAAATTATTTTTAGGGTGTAAGTCCTTGCAGACCATGAGTTCTGACCACTGGTTAACACCTGAGGAGGAGAGCAGAGCATTCAAGCAGAAAAAGCTCCTTGTCCTCCCTATCCTGGGCTCACACCAATATTAGTGACATGTAACGAAAAGCTCCAGAGGCAAWTGCCAGTTCCCCAACCTTCTCATGTCCCATAGAGAGTTCATACAAYATATATTCAAGAAAGAGTAAGTACATGCAGCTGCTGAGTTATCAGTGCTCACATAACTCATTCTGAACAAACTCAGCAACCTGAGGCCTTCTCATCCACTAAAGGGCAAAAATGTTTGGTTTCTGTTTGACTATCTTGCGCTGAGGATGCCAGTCTCATAACCAGTGATTTGAAATGTGCCTCTTTCATGCTGGCAATACCTTTCATCATCAAAGAGCTTTAAGCTGTTCAGTTGGCACATGGAGCCACAGTAATGGTTTTACCCATAGATGAATTATTTCAGCTGTCTGCCTTAAATGATGCACAACAGTTTGG